AATGCAGTATAATTGTCTGGACATAGACTGGTCTTTGTTTGTGTGGTTCACTCCGAATCAGCTGTAATTAACTCCAGAGTGTTTCCAGATTGCCAGCAAAGAAAAATTACAGCTTTTCTGTTTTAAATTGTAAAGCTCACAAACATTAACTATGCACAGTGCATGTACTTTGATATATTTCTATCCTGAAAAGGGGGCGGGGGGAGCTTATGTGACTCCCCCAACCCCCTCTAAAAATGTGCTTTTGTGAAGTTATTTGACTTAGTGACGATTGGAACATAATGGAGCCTTGATCCTTGGGCTTGAAATCTTTTTCTTCATATTTTCAATCCTTGGACATCCTTGGAGTTGTTTTTCTTCGTGCGAAGGTTTCTAATGCTGCAGTGGGAAAGAAGTTACGCACTCGTGGATGAAATACTGGACGTATACTAAACTGAGCAAATTGCAGAGAAAGCTGGCTACAGGAAACCACCAGCCCCAACTTTAAAGACCGAGATCAAAGCTGGATCCTGACGTAACTTTACCTGTGTTTTGATATATCAAAAGGGAGGCTGTGAGAACGGGCCTTCCTCCCGTGGTCAGCACGCCACACCCTTTTAAAAGCTCCTGTACAGTAGTTTATAATTATGAATTCCAACATGGGCAGAAATGAGGTAGCGGTGTGAGCTAATACCGCCTAGTACATAAAAGATCTGTCAGCAACTGATGCAAAAAAAAAAAAAAAAGTCCAGCCCAAAATCTTTTTTTTTCTTCCCTCTGAATTTAACAATAAGGAATTTAAGCCTCAGTGTGGCTTTAGCGACCAAAGAAAAGAAGCTCTTGGTGTCTGCATAATACCACTTTGATGGATTTTTTTTCATCAGTTCTCTGTACATGGCAACAAATAAACAAGTATAATTATACTTGTGAAGGCTATTCAGTGCTTTGTCAGGATTAGATATATGTGCCGTTTTCACACTGCACCTCCCTTTTGTCTTTGCCTAACTCACTATGACATATTGATAGAGGATTTGGACTGGGGAAAAGGCCACAGCAGAGACAGTGATGACCTTTTGGAAACTTGATATAATTCAAGGATTTTTATTTATTTTTCTTTTTCTTTTTTTTTTTTTAGAACGTGTTACCAAATTCTCTTCTACGTGGACAGCTTTTAACCCATTTCAAAGGGAGTCCACGAAGACTCCGGGTGTTAGGAGAGGGCTCACGAGCAGATGAGAATAAAAACAATAGGCGGAGGGGCCCTTGTCTCTTTTCCCAGCACTTTGCAGAGTGGCTAACTAGCATTCCTTTCCCATTATTCAGGCCTCCTCACCAGATCACGTTCTTTTTCATCATTTCACAAACACTGTCTCCCTGGACCGGAGAGGAGGGCTGGGACAATCTCAGTTAAAAAGCAGAGGTAACACTGGCCTCTCCGATTTGGGGTTCCAATGGGAACGCTGCTTCGTGAGTGCAGGGGAATTCTCCTATTGTTCAGCAAGCACCCCTTTCATTAGCCAGCTCCTGGTAGGTGGGTTCGCTCATTTGGCAGAGCAGAGTGGAGGCCGCAGGACGAAAGCAAGGCAGAACGAGCTGTAGAAGTTAAGTTCTTTTCTGCATATTGTCCATTAGTTCCAAAAAGGGGATTTACATGATCAAAGTCACCGATCTTGTGAGTTACTGAGAATACCCCCAAAATGTGTACACATATTCTAAGCAGACCAGCAGGTACGTATTGTTCTGAATTTAGCATTGAAATTGTATTAGGTTTTTTGGGGGGAGGAGGGATTTCTTGAAGACTTCGGTGATTTTTAAAGATAGAATGTTTGGCAATAGAGAATAGAAATTGGTGGAGACCAAATAGAGACCAGCTTACATGGTGAAGCAGCCTTTATAGTGAGTTTACTTGTTACGCAGTCATTTTGGAATGAATTCTGTGGTTTAAGTTAAATGACTGTCTTTGTGGTCTTTCTACTGGGACTTAGAAAAGTTTAGTGTAAATTTCCTATATGGGTCACACTGACAAAAGAAAGGTCTTCTCTGACATTGATGACAGTGAAATCACTGGGCATCATATTTAATATGTACAGTATTGGTACATGTAGATGTAACTAATGTTTTAACTGCACAAACTAAAGTGATTCCATCAAAATATACAGGTAAACATTGCCATGGTCATAGTCAATAGCTACGAATTTAAAAATCAGGTAATCTATTACTTGCCATCAATTCAGATAGGTTTGTCATTGTTGCTTTTGGAATGAAATGTACGTTTGATTGTATAGAAGACAGGATTTGACTTAGCTTCTGATTAATGTGTGCCTTATTGAGAAGAAATTGATAGGCAATTTGGTGTAAAAGGATGTGGGAATTTTGTAACAAAATCAATCCTACCATTTTGCTTTGACCTGTGATGGATTCTGTAGGGTAGTTTTCATAATTTTTTTTCACATGGCAACAATGTTGTCCCATTTTTGGAAGTTACTTTCGGTAAAATAAATAGGTTCTGATTCATATAGAGCAGTACTGAGACGCTACATTGCAGAGTCCATTCGGCATCTGGCCAAGATTATTAACTGCACGTTACAGACACCTATTCCAGGTGTCTTCATCATGCGTGTCATAATTCCAGCAAGTGCTCTTGTGGGCTGAGAGCTGTTGTAGGGTTATAAGCAAAGTAACTTAAATAATAATAAAAGCTCAGAAACTCCTTCACAAGCTATAAAGTGTTTGGGAGCTTTTCTTACTTTTGTGATTAAGGTGAATCTCCTTCCACGTAGCAGCCTAAACTGTCCTTTCATAGGAAAGAATAAACAACAATAACGACCCTGGGTCCTTTACATGCTAACCCAGGATCACTAACGGAGTGTGATCCACCACGGTGCTCCCACTCCAGATCTTAGCCCCTTCCTCCCTTCCTCATCCCCTCCAGTCCCGCAGGGGGTTATGGTTTAGGCATGTTGGCTAAACCTTTGGTGCGTATGTACATTGTTTGTGCCGATTTGGTGAATGCAAAGGTAAACATTAACGTTTGTGGACTAATTAGAAAATTATTAGGTTTTCATGCTTATGGTTATCAGATTATTTCAGAGGGTTTTAAAAGCTGCAGGCATGCCATGAAGATAATTAACCTGCAGCTCATCGATGATTAAAATTACACACTAAGCTTTATGATGTTTGATTGGTGAGCAATTAGAATGTCATTTTAACCATGGCAGATACCAAAACGAATTTTGATTTCATTTCCAATCTCTGCAGATCTTTTGATGTATTCTACACTGATCACTTCCTCTCTGATTTAGCTGACAAGATTAAATTTGATTACAGTCAAGAGAGTATTAAGAAGTGATTCTTCATACTTAATATGCCAGTGACCTTCAATGAGGTCTTTCTTCCAGAAGAACTTTTCAAAAGGAATTTCTAAAATGCTTAGTAATATTGGTGAGCCCAGAGTTTTGTTTTCTTCTTAGCCCTCTGCCACTGTGAAGTCTGCAATAAATGCAGGGGCATCCAGGGCGAGCCATTGCATGTCTATCCTACCCAATATGACAGGTAATGGAATAGAGCAACGTCAAGCTTTCTTATATCAAAAATTATCAGCGACCTTGAAAGTGTTGATACTTTTACATTAAGGGGCTAGTTGCCTTGAAGTTATGAGTCCCTCAGATTGTAAGATTTGAGAGAAAATTGCTTAGCTGCTTCATAAAATCGAGACGATGTCTGTGTCCTAGGCTGAAAATAAACACAAAAGTTTCAGCCCACTCAATGGTGTGTACAGTGCCATCATCCTGCAAACCCAGAGAGCTGCAGGACTCAGAAGCTTAAACTGTAATTGAGTTGCTATTACACTAGCTGAGGTTTGTGCGCACACACACAGGTGGGCACGTACACACACGTATGTGGGCACACACGCACACACACGCATACACACGCACACACAGAAGGGCATGCATTGCTACCAATACATACTCAGTTTTCCCCTGCTACCTGACCCTGCTGCCGGAACCTGAGATGGCTTTACGGAGGGTGCATCTTGCTCTTAACAAAGGGAGTTTATGGTCTAAGATGCCTGGCTGCAAAAAAAACAAAAAAAAAAACACTGAAAAATTAAATCTAAAAAAATGATGGAAGGATTTTCATCAGTCGTGCTTGCGTATGATTTGTTAAGCCAGGGGAGATGCTGATTGAGGCAATAGTTGAGAGATGGGCAACTCACCAGGATTGATAACATCAAAATGGTATTTGAAATGGTGTTCATTACGTATTGCAGTGGGGAAAAAAAAAAAAAGGAGTGAATGCGATCGTCCCCTAGGATGATAGGCCTGGCTGCAGTAAATATTAATTTCTGTTCTGCTGCCCATTGAGGTGACTGAAGTGTGGGGAAGAATTGTGATTGGTGCTTAATCAGGGCCAGCCAGATACCTGCTGAGAGCTTTTGCACAGGGAAGATTTGTAGTAAGCTGATTTACTGGCAAAATGAAAGCCAGAGCAGAGTGTGGTCGGTGCTGCCTAGGACTGTAATATTTCTCATTTTAAGGTTCCTTTATGGTTGGTCTCCCTTCCCTACTCATCCCCCCCGAGAAAGTAAAAGGTAAATATTAAAAAATTACAAGTTATTTGCATTGTTCTTTTTATTCCTGCCTTCGTAGGTGAAAGCCATTTCCGTGTCTGTCACGGACAAGGGGCTTTTAAAGCCTTTACGTCGATTATAGACATTTTCAGGAAAGGGGAATGAAAAAAAGTACGGATCACTGATATGAATTTCAGATTTATGATGAATGCCCATGGCGACTTCAGAAACACCTAGGGTGTGGAGGCCCGGCTGTGATAGCTCTCCGCATGATTTTGCTCCATTTACACAAAGTCTGTGTGTGATAGATAGGTGCGCTGGTTTTAGTGACCCCCCCCCCTCACCTTTGCAGATAGTCAAGTTTACAGCTGCCGTAAATTAGTGATGGGCTATTAGTGAGCGGTGTCATTATTTAATAAAAATGCCTTCTCTCACCTTATTTTTTATCCAGGTCCCTGACAGGCTGGATGAAATGAGATCCCCATGTAGCGATTGCCATGGAAACCTGTGACTCCCCTCCTATCTCAAGGCAGGAAAATGGGCAGAGCACGTCAAAGCTGTGCGCAGCGACACAACTGGATAATGAGGTGCCAGAGACAGGGGCAGGCATGGAGCCTGACAGGGAAAGCAGCTCCGCCGATGGCAACCTGAGCGCCCAGGAGCCGCGCGCCCAGGACGGCTCGCTGGGCCTGGGCCTGGGCCTGGGCCTGGGCGGCGAGCATGCGGCGGCGGCGGCCGGGCAGGTGGCCGCGGCCAAGGAGATCCCCTGCCACGAATGTGCCGCCTCCTTCCCCAGTTTACAGAAGTACATGGAGCACCACTGCCCCAACGCCCGCCTGCCCGTCCTGCGGGACGACAACGAGAGCGAGGCCAGCGAGCTGGAGGACAGCGACGTGGAGAACCTCACGGGGGAGATCGTTTACCAGCCCGACGGCTCGGCCTACATCATCGAGGACTCCAAAGAACGCGGGCCGGCCGCCCCGCCGGGGGCCCCGGGCCAGCTCTTCTCGGCGGCCCGGCTCCTGGACTCCCTGGCCGCGGCCGGGGACCAGGGCGAGCCGGCCGCCGCCGCCGCCGCCCCGCTGCCCTTCTACCCGCAGATCATCAACACGTTCCATATCGCTTCATCCCTCGGGAAACCATTGACAGCCGACCCGGCTTTCCCAAATACCTCAGCGCTCGCAGGCGTCGGGCCTGTGTTGCACAGCTTCCGTGTCTACGATCTCCGGCACAAGCGAGAGAAAGACTATCTCACCAGTGACGGCTCGGCCAAAAACTCCTGTGTGTCCAAAGATGTCCCCAGCAACGTGGACCTGTCCAAGTTCGACGGCTGCGTGAGCGACGGCAAGAGGAAGCCCGTGCTCATGTGCTTCCTGTGCAAGCTGTCCTTCGGCTACATCAGGTCCTTCGTCACCCACGCGGTGCACGACCATCGGATGACCCTCAACGACGAGGAGCAGAAGCTGCTCGCCAACAAGTGCGTCTCCGCCATCATACAGGGGATCGGCAAAGACAAAGAACCTCTCATCAGCTTTCTGGAACCAAAAAAATCCACTTCTGTGTATCCCCACTTTTCTACTACAAACCTCATGGGCCCCGACCCGACCTTCCGCGGCCTCTGGAGCGCCTTCCACGTGGAGAACGGCGACTCCCTGCCGGCCGGCTTCGCCTTCTTGAAAGGCGGCCCGGGCCTGTCGGCGGGCCCCGCGGAGCAGCCGCTGGGGGTCACCCCGATGCCAAAGGCGGACGTGAACCTGGGGGGGCTGTCCAGTCTCGTCGTGAACACCCCGATTACCTCTGTCTCCCTCAGCCACCCATCGTCGGAGTCCAGCAAGATGTCCGAGGGCAAAGACCCAGAGAACAACTGTGAACGGCCCCAGGGGAGCCCCGCGGGGCCCCCCGGCGGCGAGTGCCCCGTCAAACGCGAGCCCCCCGAGGCGGGCGGGGACGAGGACGAGGAGGACGCCTACTCCAACGACCTGGACGACGAGGAAGGGTTAGGCGAACTCACCGATAGTATTGGGAGCAAAGATTTCCCTCTCTTAAACCAAAGCATTTCTCCTTTATCCTCCAGCGTGCTCAAATTCATCGACAAGGGCCCCTCGTCCTCCTCCGCGCTGGGCCCCGACGACCCGGAGAAGAAGAAGCCGGCGGCCGTCCGGGCCCATCCCTACGGCCTGGGCGCCAAGGACTTGGCGGAAGCAGGTGCCGGCAAAGAGGGCGCCGCGGCCGCCCACCCCGGCGACCCGGGCCGGGGCGACGAGGACAGCGCGGCCCCCCCGCACCAGCACGGCTTCGCGCCCAGCGCGCCCGGCACCCCGGGGCCCGGAGGGGACGGCTCCCCCGGCAGCGGCATCGAGTGTCCCAAGTGCGACACGGTGTTGGGGTCCTCGCGGTCTCTGGGCGGCCACATGACGATGATGCACTCCAGGAACTCCTGCAAAACCCTCAAGTGTCCCAAGTGCAACTGGCACTACAAATACCAGCAGACCCTGGAGGCCCACATGAAGGAGAAGCACCCTGAGCCCGGCGGCTCGTGCGTGTACTGTAAGACCGGCCAGCCGCACCCCCGGCTCGCCCGGGGCGAGAGCTACACGTGCGGCTACAAGCCCTTCCGCTGCGAGGTGTGTAACTACTCGACCACGACCAAAGGCAACCTCAGCATCCACATGCAGTCGGACAAGCACCTGAACAACGTGCAGAACCTGCAGAACGGCACCGGCGAGCAGGTGTTCGGCCACGCCGCGCCCGCCCCCAACGCCAGCCTCAGCGGCTGCGGGACCCCCTCCCCGTCCAAACCCAAGCAGAAACCCACCTGGCGCTGTGAGGTGTGTGACTACGAAACCAACGTGGCGAGGAACCTCCGGATTCACATGACCAGCGAAAAGCACATGCATAACATGATGCTCTTGCAGCAGAACATGAAGCAGATCCAGCATAACCTGCACCTGGGCCTGGCCCCGGCCGAGGCGGAGCTCTATCAGTACTACCTGGCCCAGAACATCGGCCTGACCGGGATGAAGCTGGAGAACCCTGCCGACCCCCAGCTGATGCTCAGCCCCTTCCAGCTGGACCCGGCCACGGCGGCCGCCCTGGCCCCCGGACTCGGTTAGTAGTTACTGCCTTTCTCCAGTCCCGTTAGCTCCGCATCACATTCTGAGTTGGTGGGATGCACCCAGATGAAGTGGTGAGTGCAGACGCATCGGGGACATTTCTCTCTCAGCTGATAATCAAACCACTTGGCTTCACTTCAAACCTGAATTAACTCCATAGAGGAAGCCGTTAAGGGGTCCAGGGCAGCCTGAGAGGAGTTAGCAAACTTTGTCTTCATTCAGCAGCTCGATGAACAAGCGCGCATGTGCCTGAGTTGCCTGCCATTATTAGCTGTAACCCTTGCAAGGTTTATAGCTTTGATTTTGGCAGTTATTCCCTCAAATATCAAACTTGTGCTTCTAAAGGGTAGACCGTTATTTTTAATGAAATATTAGTGAAAACTATTTCCGTGTCTGTGATGGAAGGTAATTAAACTGCTAACAGTCATACCGTTACCTTATCCCGGGTATTTGGCAAGAGATTCCCGGCACGCCTACAGTATTAGCCAGATCTCATCAGGCTTCAGACAAATTGCGAAATAGCAATTAGTGCTTATGTAAGTTTATCTAGGCTCTTCCATCGCAAGCACGTGGCTGTTTGTTATGGTATCGATCACCTCTCTTGCCCTCGAAAATACAAATTTCAGAATGACATCATGCCCAGTAGGAGTAATTAAAGCTATCTGGTGAGGGCATTTAGAAGTTGAAAGGGATGATTGTAATTGATCCCGATTCAATCCTATTACAGCTTTTTATGGGTTTAAGCTCTAGAGAAAGCACATTCCCGGTCAAGACTTTTGTTTTACAGATTCCTTTGTGTGCGCTGTGTTTTCTAGTGTCTATTTTTCCTCTTAATTTTTTTCTTCCTGTAGTAAATAATGAGCTGCCGCCTGAAATCCGGCTTGCCAGTGGTCAGCTAATGGGTGATGACCTGTCCCTCCTTACTGCAGGAGAGCTGTCACCTTATATCAGTGACCCGGCACTGAAGCTATTCCAGTGTGCTGTGTGCAACAAATTCACCTCTGACAGCCTGGAGGCCCTGAGCGTGCATGTGAGCAGCGAGCGCGCTCTCCCCGAAGAGGAGTGGAGGGCTGTAATTGGAGATATCTACCAGTGCAAGCTCTGTAACTACAACACGCAGCTCAAAGCCAACTTCCAGCTCCACTGCAAGACCGACAAACACATGCAGAAGTACCAGCTGGTGGCTCACATTAAAGAAGGAGGCAAAAGCAACGAGTGGAGGCTCAAGTGCATCGCCATTGGCAACCCCGTCCACCTGAAGTGCAACGCCTGCGACTACTACACCAACAGTGTGGATAAGTTACGCCTGCACACCACCAATCACAGGCACGAGGCGGCCCTGAAGCTCTACAAGGTAAGGCTGACATCCCTTTCCCTTGACACAGGGGTGGGGAGGGAATTAACTGTTTCAGAGCTTGGAGCACAAGTCTGCAAGTTAAGAAAAAAAAAAAAAAAGCGGGGCAAGGGACACAGTGTCTGCTGAATGTTAATACATGTTATGTTGAAATCTAGCAACGGGAGAATTTATTTGAAAGATTGGCCATATGTCCCTGTTCTGTCTATCACAGTGGCATGGATTGCTTTACTGGTTTCTCCCAAATAAAATAACTTTTCTGAGTATTTTCCTATGCAAAACAATGCTGTGTTATTGACTGGTTTTTTAAAAAAGCATAGTGTACCACTCACGGCTAAGTGTGAATGGTTACAGGGAGCAGAGGACAAAAATAGTGCTACCTCGTGTCACCTTTTGTTTGGTGACAAGGTGACTCTGTGTGCGCATTTTTGCTTTTTCTTTTAAGTACCTAGTAGTATTGTGTAAACACACTCTCCCTTAGCATCAGCTGAAAGTCTTCTTAACACTGTTGTTGTTTTGCATGATTTTCCCCAGCTAGTAATGTTTTTATCCCCTCAGTGGATGTGGCAGGGATAAAAATGTTCATTCAAAGGCAAATAATACTTTTATCTGATGCTGATGTAATGAATACATGCAAGTGAGGAACACCATTGATTGCACAACTTGTCTTGACTTTTTGTGAAGCCTGATGACTGGTTAATTTGTTTGGGGCAGCTGGTGGACTGGTTTGGCTTGATTGTCTTGGTTCATGTAACACGTGGAACAGATTCATTTCTATGATGAATAACTGGGTAACTTATTAAGAACTTCTTTTGTCTAGAGGACATTAAAATTCAGAAAATATTGCAAACCATTTGTCATTGTAACAAGCTCTAAATATGATTACAAAATCCATTTTGCAAGTGTTATCTATTGATTTATACTAGAAATCAGGGGTAACTATACTATCAGGAGTCAACCAGTGATTGTAACACCTATGGCTTTTCTAATACTGCTTCAAACTATAAACACACGAGGAGCAGAACAGACTGTGGTCTAGAGCGCGTGCAGGAATTATTTATTTGGGTTGGCCTGGCACTGTTTGTTGAGGTTGTTTCTTGAAGTTCCAATTCTAGATTGATGAACGGAGCATAAAATCCGGAAGACGTGGTGGGGGAATTTGTAACATTGTTCCTGTGATGTTGGCGCTCCGCAGATCAATAATGAAAGCATTAGATTTGGGTTTGAGGGGAGTTCAGGCTTTCATGTAAGCTGGAAAGCTTCTAAGTTGATGGTATTGAAAATATAATCCAACGAATTAATTGTATTATAATTCATAGATTTTACAGCAATGGTTGACAACCGTTCAATTGTCAACTTTTTTCCCCCTGTTGCTACCTGACCTATTAAAACTTTTAGAATACCGAGGAGAGAAAAAAAACAAACAAACATTAAGTTTGTATAAATAATAGATCTCAACCCTGGGAGCTAGATAGAATATTCATGAACTGGGTTTATATTCACGCAGCCCCTCTAACACTTGAAATGAACATGTTGCAAAAAGAAGACATACATGTACAAATTTTTCTGTTTTATTAATCTCATGTGGGAAGCTCCAGAGAGGTAGAGTGGCACGGTTTATTGTCTCAGGAAAGGTGATTTAATCTAATTGTTTGGTGATTATGTAGACATGTGTGTTTTAAGTTTTTCCATTCATTCCACGGGTGTGAATTGACATCCCTCACTGTCTGCAGAGCAGTTTGCTGGGTGCCAGAGCTGGTCTGGAAGTTCCTTTGAAGGGAGAGTTGGATATTGTCTTTGAATGGCTAACAACCCAAGGAGATAAACCCTTGTTTATAAAGAGGGCTTTCAAGCAGAGAGAACTTTCAGTGTCAGAACCAAAGGGTGTATTTGTCCTCTTACCTTTAAAATGCTATGTCATATACAAAAATTTCCCCCAACTCTTCTTTATTTGCTTATCTCTTAAATACCCAAGTTCCCTAATACTGTAGTGTCTAAAGTGGTCAGCAACCAAACAAACACACTTTGAACAAACTTACCTTGAATTAAAAGAAGATTGAACAGAGAAATATTTGAGCTGTTGCAGTTTGATATGGGGCCATTGAACTATATTTTTTGCATCATCCTTCAAGGGGCATTCCTTATTTCTGCACAAGTCCTCCGGAATAGCAATGTGTTGAGGATGCCATTTCTAAAATGAGTTACAAAGACCAAAGACAGTGTGCGTCAGATAGAGAGAAAGGCTTTTCAAGTGCAGTAATGGGGATTTCAGCCAGCTTGGTCAGCTTGTGTGAGCAAAATAAAATTGCTTCATAAGTAACATTAATTGCTTTTAAATGAGAAGCTAACAAATTGGCCAGGGCCTGGAAAAAAATGATGGTTTGTAATTTGGCTAAAATATTAAAATTAGACTTAAAATAGTTTCTGAGTTAATGACTAGACAATAATCTCCTACGTAAAATTTATTTTCATTAAGAGCTTAATTTGCATCATTCTGCTTCAGGAATTAGTTAGACTTTATGGGAAAGTGACAAGTAGCAGTTATAAGACAAATGCAGAGCTGTGAGAATTCAGCTTTTCTTGTTATTGACAACATATTGATTAACAACACTTTAAACGTGGTCATGTGTCAGTTCGATTTGAATAGGCTACCTCTTGCTGTATTACCTAAAAGAAGTGTGTGTCCTCATTCCAGTTAAAGGAGGTTAAAGGTTAAAGGTTAAGGGTGAGCATAAAAGCATCATCTGCCTAGCTGCTTAACTTTAAACTGATCAATTTAATGAAAATCTGTTTTACAGATGTTGTTTTAATGTATTTGGCAGGATTTAGGCAGCTTTAACATTAGACGTATGCTAGTAAAAATTATTTCTTTATTTGACCAGAACAACACCTTTCCTTTTATGTTTAAGGTAGAAGGCTTGTGGGTTATGGTATTTTGGCAAAGAACCCAGAGGCAGAATGTGTTGATGATCTTTCCATATGGACTCAAAAAAAAAGAATACCTTCATGTCTATTGCTAACGATGGCTACAAAAACAAGCAAAGCTGTATTCATTTCTCTGGCAGTATTATTTTCCTGAGAACCTTTTTTTTTCAAAAAGAGGTTTTTTAAAGAAAATCTTACTCATTTCTTCAAGCAAAAATTTCTGAAGTGCTGTGTTGATTTCCCCCCAGAAATTTTCATGATGAAGCAAAATTGGCCTGGGAAATTAAAACAATAAAATGAACCTGCAGCTTGCTCTTAATCTTCTCTTAGTGTGTGAAAGTGTATTTAAAGTGAGGTTAGCACGAAATGCCTGGAGAGCTACAATCAGTGTTGCAAGGTAAAAAGGGGCTGTATCTGTGGCCCTATCCATTTCTGTCTCTACTGCAAGAACAGTGTTTCTCAGCTAACCACTTTATTACAGCTGATCCTACTCCTCTAATTCCATGCCTTTGCATCGCAACTCTACAGATTTTTGTCAGTTGATATTTACACAGCCAGTCTTCAATAAATATTTGTAGGATGAGCAGTGGACTAATGAATAAACTGGAAAATGTTTTCAAGAAACCCCTTTAAAATGCATTGCAATTTGGTCTTCCCTTTAAAAGATCCCAAACTTTTTTTGAAAAAGCCCAATAAAAAGATATAATGAAAAACCATTTCGCAGTAGACATTCAAGGTGAGAAGGAACAAGTAAGACGTGGGCGATATTTCCGATTTCCAGTTTCGCTTATTCTTGGCTCAGAATGGCCCGGAGGTTCCTGGCCAGCTGATTGCGACCCCCCGCCCCCCCGCACCCCACCCCGCCTCCTCTGCGGGACTCCCCACACCTGCACTGGCACTGCTCTTAGGATATGATATGTATTTGTAAGTGAGGTGTTCACAGCTTTACTGGTTCAAAGTCAAAAGCTGAATTGTCCTGGCTTTTTCCCCCCGCCTGCATCTGCTAGAAGTGAAGCAGAATAGTCTGTCTGAATTCCATAATGCTGTTTTCATATTTGGGTTTCCAATTGGCTGAGAGCAGTCAATGAATCTCTTGTCTCCATGGTGAGCAGAGAAACACACGTGGGGCCGGGTCCTAGGTAACTTTCAGTGTAACATTCCCCCAAGGAACATTTTTGGAGTTTTCTCATTATCCATGTTACGGATGAAAGAATCCGGGTTAAGAACTAAAATCCAGGTGTGGGGGAGGGGCACAGAAAAGACTGCAAGGAGCCACGCTGGCAAAAGTGTGTGGCAAGGAAATAAACATGGAATAATTAACCTCACCTACCTTTTTCTTTTCTTTCCTTTTCTTCTTCTTCTTCTTTTTTTTTTTACTGGTAGGAAATAATAACCTGATCGGTTTGGAATTAACAAAGAATCACAAGGATTTTCGTTTCAATAGGCCAGAGTCCAACTTTGCAATTTAAAATCAAATACACCAGATATGTACCATTGCAATTATGGAACTGTCATTGTCCCAGTGTGATGGTAAAAGAGGTCAGGAGATTGTGTGGGATGCATTTGCATAAAAGTCATTGTGCCGGAGGAAATTGGAATGTGTGTGTGTATCTGAGAAACCAAAACAGGTTTTTCTCAAACTGATTCTACTCATTTGTTTAGATGAAGAAAGCTGTTTTCAGAGATAAACAAAAGTTATTCTTTTCTGTTGCTAAAACGTAAACCTGAATGTGGAAAATTGTGCACTTTTTATATTAGTTTCAGATTTATGTTCCTTTCAAGGTTGAAATGCAGTGTGAAATTCAATTCCAGTTGCAGGATTTATTTAAAAAAGTAATCACAATTCAAGTTATTTTATTGTATTCTCATGTAAAAAACCAAGGCAGAGGTTGAGAAAACAGTTTCCATAATAGAACAACACATGCTTGCATAATACCGACGACGAATAAATACACAGATCAAATCCAGAGGAGCTGGTTAGCTGATAGCAACTAATAAATCACCCACGCTCTCAGCTAGCAGTGCCATTGGCCAGCCCTATCGACTACGTCTACTTCTGTTTTTAAGCTTGACAT